GTTGTCACCATCAACTTTCCTCTATATAAATACAAGCTCTCCTCACCACTTTTCCTCATTCACTCTTCATTCTCTCTTCACACTCTAAAAATTCGAAAAATAACAATCATGTTATACAAATCATTATCGATCGTTGATGGATAAACCTCATTTGGATCCAGAAACCAATTTGCTTACGGAAAAATATATGAAAGGTATTGGTGAATTTATAAGGCTTGTACAACAAGCACCGGAAGCAAAAACCGGTATGTTAAGGTGTCCCTGCTCTTCATGCAATAATAGTAAGGTTATTAAGGAATGAGATGTTTGGACTCATTTATATATAAATGGGTTTACACAGAGCTATAAAGTTTGGTATCTTCATGGGAAAACTGGTTATGAACTTGGTAGTACTAGCGAAACTCAGCATGTGGATAGGGTAGTTAGGGTAGAAGAACCTACAACGGACATAGATTATAGTTTAGGTGTTGAGCAGACGGTAAATGATCATTATAGAGGGGAGGAGCAGAATGCAGAATCTTAGAGTTTTTTTGACATGTTAGATGCAAGAAAACAACCTTTGTACAAAGATTGTAGAGATGTTCATTCCCCCTTATTATCTGCAACTAGATTGATGGATATCAAGAAAGATTATAATTTGGCAGAAGAATGCGTTGATGCGATTGCTGATTTTGTTAAAAATGTTCTACCGGAGGATAATCTTGCACCGAGTTCATACTACTAGGTTCGGAAATTGGTAGCGGGTCTTGGATTACCGTATGAGGAGATATATATATGCATTGACAACTGCATGATCTATTGGAGAGCGGATGAGAACCGTGATAGATGAAAATTTTGTGGGAAACCTCGTTATCAACAAACGAGGGGAAGAGTACTGGTGCCATTCAAAAAGTTGTGGTATTTGCCTTTGACGGAAAAATTGAAGAGGTATATCAGTCTGAACGCACAGCCCAACCAATGAGATGGCATGCAAAACACTCCACAGATGGTCAGATTAGACATCCTTCAGATGCAAAAGCATGAAAACATTTCCAAAGAAAATATCCAGAATTTGCCCTTGAGAGAAGAAATGTCTATCTGGGATTATGTACTGATGGTTTCAGCCCATTTGGTAAGCATGGAAGACAATATTCAGTATGGCCAGTGACTATGACCCCGTACAACTTTCCGCCCAATTTGTGCATGCGAAAAGAGTTTTTGTTTCTCTCCATTCTCGTTCCCGGCCCAGCCCATCATAAGAGATCACTTGATGTGTCTCTTCAGCCACTGATATAGGAGTTGTAACATCTATGGGTGCATGGTGCTGAGACATACGATGTTTCGTGCAGAGAAAACTTTCAGATGCAGGCAGTACTTATGTGGACAATAAGTGATTTTCCAGCATATGGGATGTTATCTGGATGGACAACACATGGGAGACTATCATGTCCACATTGTCAAGATGACACATATGCTTTCCAACTAAAACACGGAAGAAAAATGTGTTGGTTTGACTGTCACATAAGATTTCTACCATCTGATCATCCGTACTGTAGGAGCAGGACTTTGTTTACGAAGAAGAAGCAGGTGTTTGACAGTCCACCAGAAGAAATTAGTGGGAGAGGTTTGTTGACACAGCTAAGGGATTTTGGTGCAGAAAGAACGCCGGAAGTTGGTGGACATGAAAATATTCGACCCGGTGCTGTTGGACAACAACACAATATGCACAAAAAGAGTATCTTCTGGGATCTGTCATACTGGAAGGATCATCTATTGCGGCATAGTTTAGATGTCATGCCTATTGAAAAGAACTTTTTCTAGAATCTGATGAACACAATCCTTAACGTTCAAGGTAAAACGAAGGATAATTTGAAGTCAAGATTGGATTTAGTCAACATTTGTGATCGTTCTAAACTTCACGTTGATGAGAACGGTGTGGCTCCTTTTCCCATATATCGGCTTGATGCAGCTGCAAAGGAGGTGTTCTTTGATTGAATCACCGATGAAGTGACCTTTCTAAATGGTTATTCATCACATTTGTGTAACATCGTCGACAAATCTGAAGGAAAATTTACTGGCTTGAAGAGTCATGGTTGTCATGTAATGATGTAGCGCCTCCTTCCGTTTTGTTTTCCTGGATTATTGCAAAAAAATGTTCATGGAGCAATTGCAGGTATTTTTATTTTATCTTTTTAAATTGGTTGCTATATCAATTTATTAAGTTTTACATTTACTTATATAGTTCTTTTCTTTATATGCATGCACGGATAAACGCTTTATTCCACTTTTATGTGTTTTTTAGTCAGTCTTGCGCTTCAAAAGGTGGTCTTTTCTCTTTCTGGTACTTTTGACATTCAAAATATGAAGCCGTTGGTTGGTAATATACGTGGTCTCTGGAGGTGCGATTTTTCATGCTTCACGACTTAGAACTAAGGGCACAGATATGAGTTGTGTTACCCTAAATCTTCTGTTTTTTTTTCTACAGATCTACGGCTGATCGAGTGTTTCCATTCTAATAGTGTGGAGACGGAGGTCTCTCTTTGATAAGGCGCCAAGTAGGGATCAAGTTTGCTTTAGATTGTAACCACTGGATTTCTCTTTTCAGCCTGCAGGTTGCTTTTGAGGACCGCGGTGTAGCTCAGGTTAGGGTTCATCGGTGGTGATGGAGGCGAGTTGGTAGTGTGGTGTGGTGTCTGTGTATCTACTCATCGGTTATGAACTGGCGAAGCTGGTCCAATCGGTTAACTCTTGTTTTTACACTTCTTTTTCTCTTCTTCTCGTGTTTTTTTTGGATTCAATTGTCTTTCCTTCTTCATATTGGTGGTTGTTTCGTCTCATCCTCTCTTCTTACTTTTTCTGCTTTCTGGTGGAAGTAGTTTTTGGGTTTTTCAGTTAGTGATGGTAGTGGTATTAGCTGGCGGATCTCCTCTTCGGTGTTAGCTCCAGTTTACTTGTCAGTAGTGGTTTATTCATTTTGTCCCTTTTTTTATCAAATTAGGGTTAAGACTGTCGCGGTTTAGGTGAACCGGAATGGAGTTTAGTTTGTTTTTTCATTAAAAAAATATTTTAACTATCATTTTTAAACAAAGTTGTGATGTTGTGCTTGAATTTGTTTCTCTATTTTTCCACCTTTCAAAAACCAGCAGACTCTACACAGTCTTTGCTCTATTTCTCATGAATGTTAGAGTCAAATCTTGGTAAAAAAAATATTTTTCTACCGATTTTAACTACGTTTCAGAGTCACTCAGCTGCTCTTGCCGACCAATAGCTTTCGAAAAAGTTCCACTGAGAACTCTGGACGATCTCATCCTTCAATGGTCTTATCAGTCACATGTTAATTAGTTGAAGTAAAAGAGAGTTTCTCATCATCATCATCATCAGTGTTGTGTTGGTGTCCACTGTCGTCGGTTTGCATCCCGACTTTAGTATCTTCTTAGAAACATCAGTTTCATGGTTCAAAAGTGAAGTACTTTTATGGGTTTTTTTACCCCTTTAACACCTCTATCGTTCTTATTAGGCCTGGGCATTCGGATATTCGGTTCGGTTCCGGATAGGAACCATTCGGTTCCGGGTATATCGGATAAATCATTGTTATACCCAATAGATACTTATGAGATTCCGGTTCGGTTTCGGTTCGGTTCTAATTCGGTTTCAGTTCGGTTCTGGATACCCATTTAATATATAAATTAAATATATTTAAACAGAATATATTAGTTAATATGTTAATTTAAATGGTCTAGTGTTTACACGCTTACATATTAGTCAATCCAACAAGAGTTCGAATCAATAAAGTGTTAATTTTGATAAATATTTATCATAATTTAATATAGAAATACCATATATATTTATAATATAACAGAATAAATAAAACATAACGTAATCTGGTGGTAAAAATGTAATTACTCTTTGTTAACTTGTTTTTCGGATATTCGGGTACCCGTTCGGTTCCGTTTCCGGTTTGGTTTTTCGTATATAGAAATATAGGAACCATTCGGATATTTAAGCATTTTGATCCGGTTTCAGTTTTGGGTATTTCGATTCGATTCCGTTTTTTTGCCCAGGCCTAGTTCTTATTATTGTAGTCTTCGTTTATCGTCTAGCCTTCGAACTTACCCCGGTTGTTATCGCTTAAACTTCTTTGCTATTTAGTTTAATACAAGTGTTTTGTGACAAAAAAAAATATATCAAAAATATTGTAATATGAAAACCTGTATGGCCTAACGGAAAATATTTAATCCATCTAATAAAATATTTTCCGCACCCTTCGTTTCAGGTTCTCATATATTTTCCATAATTTTATCATTTTGTCAAAGTTTATTTAATTTAATCAAATACAATTTACGTAAAAAAAAAAATGACAGAAGAGGCCCAAGTATAAATACTCTAGCGGATAGAAGAAACTCATTACAGATTTGCTTCCGTAAATCTCTCACGTCAGATACGATACTCACCTAAGACAAGTCTTCTTGCTCGTCGCCACTTTAGTCTTCGAATTCCGGTAAGCATTACCTTCTTCCTCTTCGGGTTTTACGTGTTTCGTTCGATTAGGGTAAAATTAGGTCACGAAAGGATGATCGAGTTTTTTTTTCTGGTTCGTTTCTTCTTCCAATCTTTCTCGATTGATTTCCAATTTTCTAAGGATGATAAAACCTTGGAAAATTACATGAAATTCTCGTACAGAAATTATATTTACATGGTTCTTTCAAGTTGACAGTATACCCAACATTGGTGAGCGTAAATAACACCAACACCGTTTGATTAGGGTTTTGATTAGTTTCACAATAACTAAAACAATTATCGATTAAGATTATGCGAGTATTCTATTAGGGTTTTGTTTAGGTTTACGCATTAGTTTATGTTTCTTTGAAAGATTCTCGTGATAATTAACAGTAATCTTTTAAAGGAGAAGGTGCTAATAGTTTTTAGATACTAGAGAGATTCAGTGATTTTATCTAATCTGTTTTGATGAACAACAGTCTCTATATATTATTTGGATGATTGGATTAGGTCAAATTCAAATCATGGATGGAGGAAGAGTGCCACCGAAGAATCAAATGTTCAGTTATGCGAAAAAATACATTGATGAAGTGAAGGAAGCATTAAAAGATGAACCTGAAAAATATCAAGAGTTTGTCGATATGTTGAAGTATTTCACAAAGCATCGGTATGTCTCGTTTGCTCTTTTGTTTTCAAGTCTCAATCTACACAAGAAACTCATATGTAACCATGAATTGTTTTCTGATCATGTTACTGTGTCATTCTCTTTAATTGTAGGGATGATGATGCTACTATCTTTTCAAAGGTCGATGAAATCTTAAAAGATCACCCTAAGCTGCTTCTTGCTTTTAATTACTTCCTTCCTCGCGAGCCCGAGAGCATCATCCCTCCCGAGCCCGAGAGCATCATCCCTCCCGAGCCTGAGAGCATCATCCCTCCCGAGGCTGTGAGCATCATCCCTCCCGTGGCTGAGAGCATCATCCCTCCCGAGGCTGAGAGGATCATGCCTCTTAAAGCTGAGAGAACCATTAATCCAGATGCTAAGAAAGGGTTAAACCAATATCAAACCAAGGTTGATAGAAGAGTATCGCGGAAGCCAACCGTAGATGACGACGCACATCCATACATTGCTTCTGTGAAAAAAGCGTTTAGTGATGAACCTGGGAAATATGAGGAGTTTCTAAGGATCTTGAGTGATTATAAACTCGGGTATGAATTGTTTTTCTTATGTCCGGTTTAATCCTAAATTCATTTCTACATTAATCTACACAACCATCACACATGTGATCAATTGGTTTTCTGATGTGAATAATTAATCTCTTTTTGTAGGAACGATGTCACTAGTACCCTTGCAAGGATGAAGGAACTCATGAGAGAGCACAAGAAGATGTATCTTGATTTCAAATTCTTCCTTCCGGATCATGCTAAGACAACCATCAAACTCAAGGTTAAGAACACCACCCCTCCTCCCGAGACTGACCATCATGGTGTTAATAAGTCTTATTGTAACAAAAGAAAACGTGTGGAGTCGTCTGATGATACTAGTTTTATGGACAAGCTTAAGGTATGTACATGAAAAACAAATACTATTTTGATATATGTTTCTCTTAATTTTTTTTTATTTTAAAACAACAATTTCCTCCATCTGCAGATAAGGTTTCGGAGCCTTGATACTCATGTAGTTAACTCGTTTCGAAAGACGATGAAAAAATACGAAGAGGGAAAAAAGTCCAAAAGAAAGGTGTACAACAAGGTAAGTTGTACCATCTGGTGTGTGGCACTTTTTACTTTTTGTCTTTCTTTTTCTTTGTTTAATTTTTTTATTGTTTATACATGATGCAGGTCTTGAACCTTCTTTACTATCATGAAGACTTGACGGAGGACTTTACCAGATACTTCAAACGACAAAAAACCATTTCGGAATAGCCATCAACATCTCGTAAAGCTAGTTACTAAACAACATGTTTTTATTGTAGCATCCAGAATGACGTTTGATGCAGAAAGTAGATAATAGTTAAATGTGAAGAAACTAACGGGAAGAGCTTTGTATAGTTTCTTTTCTAATAGTTTTGTGTTTAGCTCAGCTCTTCTGTCAAGCGTACTGTATCTTCTTAAGTCTCTTATACTATTCAAGAGGAGGAATTACAATTGTCATTGAGAATGAAACTGTGCTCTCTTCAATTCAATGTTTGATTTAATTGACTCCTTTTTGGTATGATTTGTAAAAAATAAGCATAAAAGGGTTTGACTTTATCATATAAGAAGAGGCAGGTGGTGGTGAGGTAAATTAAAGTTTCGATTTTTAACCCCAAAGATCGAAACTTTTTTAAATAAAGTTCTATTTTATCTTTTTTGCTAAACATATAAAGTTTCGGTTTTTAACCCCAAAGATGAAAATTTTTTGGTTCGACAATCTATTTTTCCACGAGAAATATTATATATCACCAAATGTCTATAAAACTGTGATCATGTTCTATTTACCCCCGAGAATAAAATTCGAAAGCTATTTCTCCACCAAATTAAAGTTATATCGACATTTCCTCACAATTAATCTAAAAACTTACAAAATTGATTTTTATTGTTTTATTGTTTGTAAACAAACCGTAAGCCATGTTATGTCAATGATTAACCGGATTAAGATTCAAGTAGTTGGATCCTTTAAAGTTCAAATGTTGGGTCGGGTTACTGTTCTGATTCAGATCAAGGTTTGGTCGGATTTTTAATTTTGTCGTGGTTTAGTTTTGTTCGGTTTATTATATGAGAGTGGAGATTTGAAACTCGGTTTTCAAAAATCATAACTAAACCAAATTAAGTGGGGAAATAGCTTTCGAACTTTGTTCTCGGAGGTAAATAGAACAGAGTCATAGTTCTATGGACATTTGGTATTATATGATATTTCTCGTGGGAAAATAGATCGTCAACCCAAACTTTTTTATACAGTAGAACATTTATAAATTAATACTCGATAAATTAATATACACTAAATATCTCTATAAAATAATATAATTTTATAGTACCAAATTGAGTTTTTAGTTCAATTAGTATTTCGAGAATTAATATTTCTTTAAATTAATAAAAAAAAGATTTTGATGTAGTGCAAACTTTATTAGTTTATAGAGGTTTCACTATATAAAGTTTTGATTTTTTTGTTGCTAAACATATTAAAGTTTCGATTTTTAATCCAAAGATCTTGAACAAACAAAAAAAACATAAAACCAAAAATGGAAACTTTAATGGAAGAAATGGCGTTATTAGGATTCTCTCTCCGATCCAACAACACCCTCCTCCTAGAACCATCTCCCACCACTTTACCTACCTCCATCCTCCGCCACGTGTCCACAGACACAACCCCACTCCACTCACAATCGAAACTGCATCTCCATTCACCGCCCACCAATGCAACCCCCCGTCACGCTCCTCCGTCTCCGAGCTCCTGCGATCACCAAGAAAGACGCAATCATCACATCGTATCGTGACTACTGCACGTTCTTGGGACGTGGCGGGGAGCTAGTGGACGCGTTCTCTGAGCTTATGGGAAGGCAAAGAGAGGGTTGTTCTAATGGGAAAGGAGGGTCAATGCATTTTTATAAGAAGGATATGCGTGTTTCTACGGTGGGGCATGGGATCGTTGGCGCGCAGATTCCCCGTTGGGGTGTGGTTTGGCGTGTTTGCGCAGAAGTATGGGAATGAGGAGCTTGTGAGTTTTGTTTTGTATGGTGATGCTTTGAATATTGCTGCTCTTTGGGACTTGCCTGCTATTCTTGTCTGCCATTGTGAGTTTTTTGTTTTGTTTTTTTTGAGTCTTTTGTTTTTTGGTAAAAGGTTGAGTGTTTGATTGAGTTTGGTTTTGTGGTGTAAGATGGGATGGGGACGGCTACGTGGAAGTCTCCAGCTTATTTTAAGCGTGGAGACTGTTCCTGGCTTGAAGGTGAGAACGGGTTTGTCTAATGTTTTTCTATGGTTCCGTTGAGGTTTATTGTGTCTTTCATTCCTCGGCGTGTTAGGTAGTGGCTAAATGAGTTTGAAAGAAGGAACCTTTATGCGAGATTTGAACTTGTTTATCTGTTTGGATTTATGAGGATTACTATTTGCATTGTCTTAGAAATGTCTCCAAAGTCTTTATATCTTTTTTTTTTGACTGGTGTGAGATTAAAGTTAGCTAGTGAGTATCTTATGGTTTGTGTTAGGTGGATGGTATGGATGTACTGGCTGTGAAGCAGGCATGCAAGTTTGCCAAGGAGCATACGCTCAAGAATGGCCCTATTGTAAGTTTCTGCTCAATGCTTCATTTGTCAACAAGTATTGTATTGCAGCTTTGAATTTTCATTCCTTTTGATTTAAGTCTTTGCTGCTCCAATTGCTTATGTGAAACTGAACATAATCGATATGACTCTCTGAGCATTTTAAGCATTAAGCAATTACTAAGTCACATAATGCGTGTTTGTGTGGTGCTGCTGTATTTGGGGGGAGAATGGTTTGCTGGTAACTTGGGCTGCTTTCAGTCTTTTGTCAGCAAACACATTACATAGTGCTAGCATATATTGGATTCTTATAGCCCATTTTCTACTTATTGAATGATCCAACACCAAACAAACCATTGACATTATTACTTTCGCAGATTCTTGAGATGGACACCTATAGATACCACGGTCACTCTATGTGAAGCACCTACCGTACCCGTAACGAAGTCTCCGGCGTGAGACAGGTTAGTTCTTTGTTCATTTGTAAGAATATAACGTTAGAAGTTTTTGATTTTTTTTTATCTGTAAAATTTTCCTTGGTGTTGCTAACCTTTAGGTGCGTGATCCTATAGAAAGGGTACGAAAGTTGCTGCTATCTCATGACATACCTACAGAAAAAGAGCTTAAGGTTCTTTCTTCTCTTACCTTCCAATCCTCTTCCATACAAAGAGCTTTAAAAAAAAAATGATACATCCAAATACAGTCATCATTGTTTGCCTTTGCTCTTCACTTGAAAGGATATGGAGAAAGAGGTTAGGAAAGAAGTAGATGATGCCGTAGCTCAAGCCAAGGTAATATGTAATCGTATGGTTGTTTCTAGGTTTTGTCTTTGTTATAGTATTATGTCAAAGCAGTTAACAATGGAAATTTTATTTCTGGTTTGACGTGTTTAAGGAGAGTCCGGTACCAGAGGCATCTGAGCTATTCACAAACATGTACGTGAAGGACTGTGGAGTCGAGGTACTATGCTTCCCACTCTTTGATCTCCTTTAGACGTGGTGGTATTGTAGTAGTTATTTTGCGCAATTTCGTAATAGAAGATGAATCTAGAGATTTATGCAACTTTCTCCTTTGGAATGTGCACTCATTTGGAGCAGACAGAAAAGAATTCAAAGTGACACTTCCATAAATCTTACTCCATAGGACATGATGAAGGTTCAAAGCAATTGCTACCATATTTTATTTTCTTGGGTTTTGCTACCATATTTTATTTTCTACCATATTTTATTTTCTTTAGAGCAAAGCAATTGCTTTAGTATGCTAAGTTTGTTTGTCCCTTTTAATATACAACAACAACATTGTTGTTGACAGAAGCAAGAGTCTTTCTCTATGTGTGAGAAAAGATAAGAGAGCAGGTTAAGAAAAGATCTCATCATCTTTGGCTGAATAAAAGAATGTTGAGACAGGAGTAGAAAATTCATGAAGAACCCGTGTTTAATTCGTTATCTACATACAACTATTAGTATAAATAGATTAAAAGAATAATCCACTTCGTCGGTAGCAAGTAAAACTCATAACTTCAATTATCCTTGCCTCCACCACAAGTCACTTTCTCATTCCCCGGCCCACAAAACATACACCAAACCCTATTGAACGGGTAAGCTCAGTGACGCCACTCAGCCGCATTTTCTTAATATATATAATTTGGATTTCTTGTAACTACTAAAATCACTAAACTTTGATTCGTTCTTCCTTTTCTTTTTTTTTTCCTGAAATCATTCTTTTTTTTTCTTAACCTAACCTCACTTGTATTAAAAGTTTATGTTGTTGCAGTATCTTAACTCTTCAAGAATATTGCAAAATACATTAAATAAAAACAAATCAAATCAAAGATGTTCAAAAGAAATCTTCATCGTGTTCTCTTCTCATACCCGATCAAAAGTCTGAAGCACACATAACATATTCTACATCACAGAGAATGTGGCATTATTTAAATAAAATTTCTTTATATTATATGTTACGTTGGCCATGAGCTGCACTACCCAACGGGAATATTCTCTGTTATTGGCTCAGTAGTCGCTACCAACAGCCCGATATTAAAATTCAATAATGTTTAAGATCTTAATGAATTTTTGCCGACAAAGAACATTTAGCCTAATGAAAATTCGGATTCATGTCTTTTGTTATATAGGAGCACTGAAACGCATAAAACCAGGATGATAGCCCTTTCTAGCAATGTTTCTAATAATTGTGTAAGAGGCATTAAGACCATCCGCAATGGCGTATCCTTACGGGGAATCCTTAGGGAAATATTAATTTTATAATTAATGGGTCCCATGAATAGTTAAGGATTTTATCCTAAAAATCCTTATGTAAGGATTGATCCTTACACTATTTATGGGCTCCACTGCCCACGTGGCGGTCCGTGATTGGTCAGTTTTCTTTTTTTTAAAGAAAAAATCTGAAATATCCTTATATAATCTGAAATACTCTTTTTCCTTTTTTCCTAAGGATTCCTCCTAAGGATCCGCCATTGCGGATGCTCTAACTATTAAACATCTTTTGTTGAATGATTGGGAATGTGAATATGAGAATCTATAGTTCCTTGTTTGGTTATACAAAAGTCCTATGCTTGCTCTCACTGTTTTGTAATATGAAAGTAAATCTTACATGTTTTCCCTTGACATTCAATACAAAAATATATTCTTTTAGTAACTTTATACCTTGCTTGGCTGTACAAAATCTGATATTTTAGAATTTTATAAAGCAGGACTAGATATTATTTTATTATTCTTTTCCGAAAAACATTCGTGGGAAATAACTTTTGAGGTCGATAGTATTGCTTGCCAGTACGAAATTGTAATATAAACTTTTGCAAAAAAAAAAAAAAGAAGAGATTTATTCTTATTTCAACTGGCAAACCAGCATTTACTTGCAGACATAAGAATTATTACAAGCAAATATGTGAGCAGAGCACGTGACAAGTTGAGTTCACTGAGCTTCTCATCTTTGAATCTCAACCGTCCAATCTCCAGTGGACCCCAGTTAACAAAGCCAATCACCCAGCTGTTTCCCTCGACCTTCATTGCTGGCACCGTCTTAATGGGTCACGACTCACTACAAGTTTCCAAAATCAACCTTTCATTGTTTTTCTGAATCTTACGGTACACCCTCCCGTAGACGAACTTATTCACTCTTATTTAACTCACCGTAATTTTTTTTTTGGCCGTCTCACGCGGTTTTGATGGAGAGTGATTCTCAATCTCCCAAACAAGGAAACCAAATCACGAAAGTCCAAAGTAAAACATGTCTTTCTTTTATAACCCATCTTTCTTCGTCTTACTTTCCTTTATCTCTCCATTTCTGTGGAGAGACAAAGAAAAAAACAAAAGAACATTTTTTAAATATCTTCGGTAATAAATCTTTTCAGAAGCTTCTTCAATCTTTCTCCTTTGAACTAAAACGCGTTTTCTTCCTCTGATAATGCTGTCAAACGCCGTCGTTTTAGCGGCGGTCGTGTGGCTGAGTCTTCTAACACCGCTTACCGTCGGAATACGGACTGGTCCGAGAAGGATCTCGACCAACGGAGACGGCGGAAGAAATGTGTTCAGTAAACTCGGTCCGTTCATGGAGGCTCCTGAATACAGAAACGGCAAGGAGTGCGCGTCGTCTTCATCAGCCAACAACAGAGAGAGCTTTGACCCCTCTCTCGTCCACATTGCGATGACTCTGGACTCAGAGTATCTCCGCGGCTCAGTCGCTGCAGTCCACTCCGTTCTCCGCCACGCGTCGTGTCCCGAGAACGTCTTCTTCCATTTTGTCTCAGCCGAGTTCGACTCGGCGAGCCCGCGTGTGCTGAGTCAACTCGTCAGGTCGACTTTCCCGTCTCTAAACTTCAAAGTCTACATTTTTAGAGAAGACACGGTGATCAACTTGATATCGTCTTCGATCAGACAGGCTCTCGAGAATCCGTTGAACTACGCTCGGAACTACCTCGGTGACATACTCGACCGAAGCGTTGACCGAGTCATCTACTTAGACTCGGATGTGATCGTCGTCGACGACATCACCAAGCTCTGGAACACGACGTTGACGAAGACACGTGTCATCGGAGCTCCGGAGTATTGCCACGCGAACTTCACGCAGTATTTTACTTCCAACTTCTGGTCGGACCCGGATTTATCGGGTCAATTATCGGGTCGGACGCCTTGCTATTTCAACACGGGAGTGATGGTGATGGATATGGTTAGATGGAGAGAAGGGAACTATAGGGAGAAGCTAGAGAAGTGGATGCGGTTGCAGAAGAAGAAGAGAATCTACGATTTGGGTTCTTTGCCGCCGTTTCTGCTTGTGTTCGGAGGGGATGTGGAAGCTATTGATCATAGGTGGAACCAGCATGGTTTAGGAGGAGACAACATACGAGGAAGCTGTCGGTCTTTACATCCTGGTCCTGTGAGTTTGCTGCATTGGAGTGGGAAAGGGAAGCCATGGGTGAGACTTGATGAGAAGAGGGCTTGTCCTTTGGATCATCTTTGGGAGCCATATGATCTGTATAAGCCTAAGGTTGAGAGAGTTAAAGATCTGTCTCTTCCCTGGTTTGCTTCTTTGTCGGAGTTGGCTGATGATTCAAGCTTTTTGTGAGAGGTTAAAGAAAAGTTTACATTCTTTTTTTTTTTCATGGTCTGTGTGTTACAATTGTTCAGGTGATTCTTTGATTTCTGGTGTATAAATCGAACTAGAGAGGGAGAGAGAGGCTAATGGAAGCCATTGATGGAGATTATTTTCTCATTGTGGTGCTCTTCTTGTTCCCTAATAAAACTCATCTTCTTGAGATTTTCCATTTAGACAATTTGGATTGTGTATTGTAGAAAGGATTACCAATCAAACACTAATAATGTGTACATCATGTTTGAAATGGCGAAGAAGAATATGATCAGTGCCTAGGTTTTTCATGACATTCAATGTGTTGTTTATCCTCAAGTATTCTTGCAATACTAATAAACCTGGACAGTGATCATATGTATATGTTTGTTCTCGTTTTCAAACAATTCGAGTAGTACATGAGGAAAAACAACACACAATGTTGTTATGGGATTACAAATGGGCTGGGCTGTACTGTGAAAGCCCAAATACGCATTTTTCGTGTCAATAACTTTTCGTTGGTAGTTCACCGATGACTCTTGAGAAGAAATGAATCTATGTGGTCCCCGCAAGTTCACAGGTGTTCTGAGTAAAGGAGGCAAGCATTAATTATTGTCTTTAATTAATTTGGTGATTAAGAAAAGGAAAACTCGTAACTAGTTATACTTAGTTCTCAAGTAGCACAGTGTTTATTGTCTCTGATGATCTCTATCTAGATCGCCCTTGAAGTTATCACTTCCACGTTACTTTTTTATTATTGTTCTCAAACACTGGTCCCACCGACTCTTGTCTTCATTGCCGATCTGACTCTCTAATCTAATCTCTCATCTCTTCTTCTTCTTCCTTTTTGCTTTTCATCTCTCTCTCACTTGTTAAATCTGCATTTAAGATTTATTTCCAGTTGAGTGATAAAAAGTTATTTAATAATTCAATCTTTGAAAGGTCTTCCTTTTTTTTTGTCCGTCAAAGTCTTCTTCAGCTTTGAAAAAACATTTGTGTTTTACTTTTAAACAAACTGTGTTTCAACTTTTGTGTGTGTGTCCACTAGAAGCAGAAATCTGAAAAGGTGGGATCATCATTGAGAGCTAACAAGAGTTTTGTTTTGTGGGTTCTCTTCACTTTTTTTCTCTTCTGGTAAGATTTGTTAGTAAGATCCTCATCTCTTTTCTTTGGATCCTCTCTCTCCTTTAAAGTAAAACTTGAGTACTTTCAATCATTGATGTTAGATTTGGTAGTCTTTCTTTGTTTCTTTAATTATTTCAACACTTATCCATTTTAAGTACACACTTCTCCACAAGAATCTGAGCTTGCGTGTTTTGTGTTTTGTTAAAGAGTTACACAAAAGTGAAAGTAGCAACAAATATAGATCCTTCTTTACTTAAAAATAAAATGAAATGGATATGGTGGTTGATACAAATTTTGTGTGAATATAAAGGTTCTTCTGCTGAACATTAATGGGGGATATGCAAGTTGGTGTTGCCAATATTGACGATAAGGTATTTTATTATTGTCTCTGTTTTTGATAGATCTTCCAAGTTCTTGACAAGATTTGTGTATTTTCTCATGATTTGATTTTTTTTCCAGGGCTTTTATGGCTTGATGGAGGACAAACCGGTGGCCTCATCAAACCCAACCCTGCAAGTGTCGGTTTCATTTGGTAGGTTTGAGAATGATTCACTTTCGTGGGAGAAGTTCTCTGCTTTCTCTCCAAACAAGTATTTGGAGGAAGTTGGTAAGTGTGCTACTCCAGGTTCCGTAGCTCAAAAGAAGGCTTATTTTGAAGCTCATTACAAGAAGATCGCTGAGAGGAAAGCTGAGATCATGGATCAGGAGAAACTAATGGACAAGAATTCTTCTTTTAGATCGGTCATTACAGATCAGGGGAGTATGGAAGGTGAAATTGGCGGTTCTGTGACAGAGTCTATGGTTGATACTGAAGAAGATAAGCATGTGACTGACATTGCTGCTGAAGTGAAGGAGCTGAGTGTTAATGAAGAGACTATCATTGTCAAGCAATGTCAAAGCTCGGTTGATGAGGTGAAAGAAGAAGTCAAGAACAGTCTGGATAGTCCAAGATTGGAGAAACCAGAAGAGTCTGCCCTTGTGGAGGACAAACCAGAAGAGGTTTTACTAATGGATGAGAAAGAAGAGACAGAGTTAAGAGAAGACGTGACAGAGAACATTCTATGCAATGACACTACTGGCAATATGAATGAAACACCAAAGAAGGACATGGAGAAAGAGAAAACCCAAAAACTAATCAAGAAGGGTGGAAACGTTGGGATCAATCGTACAAGAAACTCTCCCAAGGTAAGGTTTCTTGAGTTCTTCAGTTGTGTTATAACAGAGTGCTTCCTTCTTATGTCTTTATTTTGGTTTTCTGTAACTCTCTATTGCTTTCTCGTCTCTAGCCTGAGCAGGTGAGGACAAAACCGGCAACTAACAAGATTGTAACAAGTAGGAAAACTCCACCAAGCAAGGAGGTCAAGAACATGATGAAACCAACAAAGAAACCAGCAGCACCTATCTCAAAGGCCCCACCAGGGTTTTCAACTCCAAGAGTGTACAAGCCAGCTTCAAAAGTCACTTCCTTATCTACATCCCAGTCTTCTGTAAAGAAGGAGAATGGCTCGTCTCTACTGAAGAACAAACAAACTGCGCCAAAGTCATTGCATATGTCTATGAGTCTTGGTCCATCTGCCTCCGATCCTACTGCTCTTACAAGCACTAGAAAGTCGTTGATTATGGAGCGAATGGGAGATAAAGACATTGTGAAACGTGCGTTTAAGTCATTTCAAAAGAGTTATGACCTCGAAACTTCTGTGGATGAGCAAAAGCCAGCTCTAAAACAGGTATATCCCTGTATATAGTAATGCTTTTCATTTCAAAACTTGTGGAGGATTATCCACTGATCAGCTACTTAAACACCAGAATCCTGTGAAGGCAACAAGTGTTTCGTCAGTAGCTACAAGGCATAAGGAAAGTAGCAGGTAATATATACACTTACACGACTTGTGGTTTCTTGCTTAGATTATTAGTGATGTTTTTTAAGTCATAAAGTTTTGTTCTTGTCCTAAAAACAGGCCTGCAAAAGCAAGTGGCATGGAGAAGAGAATTAGTACTAGCGCTCATGGTTCTGCATCTCGTGGGTTGAAAAGCAGTGTCACAGCTGAGAAACAACAAAAAGAGGTAACATCTCTCTCTCATGATCAAACTAAACACGGAGGCTTACTCTAACAACAACTGTTAGCTTGCGCTAATACTTTCTTCAATGTGTTAAGCTTTCCAAATCTGGTGCTAGACCTGTAGAGAAGACACGTTTGCAGAAGAACCCAAAGGTTTGCATAGTTTTTCTCACTTCTTTGAATTCAGGAATATGCTGGTCTCATGACGTTTCGTGTTTTAGCAGACTGGAGTGGTTGATGCCAAAACCCGAAGGGAGTCTCTGAATCCGAAAGCAAAACCCATGCAGGGTTCTCTTCCAGTACGTACCTTACCAAAAGTGGCTTCAGACAAGATGTTATGATAGCTATATCCTTCTTGATAAAGTGTGATCTTTGTCACCAATGTTGTTTGTTCTATTAGTCTATGAGTTGAAGAGCCAAATTATATTTTTGTTATATATAGAGGAGTCTCTAGTATCATGTAATAAGCCTAATGTTAATATCCCTGAGGGGATGGATGATGAATAGTTATAATTTACTTTCATGTGTATGTGTATAGACTACGTGGATCATGTTATTTATCGCAATATTATCAAATCTTGAACCAAATCAAACCAATCTTGTTAACACAGTAATTCTAATGACCTAGAGATACTCTTATGGTTATTGGTAGAGGAATTGTAAAAGGCTGTCTTTTGGTAAACAGCTATAGATTAAACAGTAGCCAAGAACACGAACTAAGTTCTTGTCTAAGATGCACATTGGTTACATCTGGGCCGGTTCTGAGATTTGGAGGTTATACACAATTTATTAAAAGTTACAATTTAGAAATCTATGTCTATGGGTAATTCTTTTCAAAAAGATTTGGGAATTGCATACTTAGACCATCCGCAATGGCGGATCCTTACGGGAAATTCTTAAGGAAATATTAATTTTATAATCAATGGGTCCCATGAACAGTTAAAGATTTTATCCAAAAAATTCTTACGTAAGGATTGATCCTTATGACGGTCCGTAGTGGTCAGTTTTTTTTTTTAAATAAAAAATCTGAAATATCCTTATATAATCCGAAATACCCTTTTTTCTTTTTTCCTAAGCATTCCTCCTAAGGATCCGCCATTGTGGATGCTCTTAGAGCATGTGCAATAGTGAGACTCACTAGAGTCCTTAGCGAAAGGGCATTTGAGATTAATTCTGGATATTTCAGATTTCTTTTTTAAAAACAAAAAATAATAAAGGAGATGACCATTCACGGGCCGCCACGTGGTCAATGGGGCCCGTGAACAGTGTAAGGATTAGTCCTTACCTAAAGATTTTAAACATTCTTTTTGACACAAATTCTAAGAAAATGGGCTCCACATTCCCTAAGGACTCCCTTAGGAGTCACCATTGCACATGCTCTTATGTTTCACTAGACTACTCCTAGGATCGGTTGGTATGTTAGATGCAATAATATACCTTTGGCCAATGGCTACATTCACATGTGAGCAAGCCTAGTTTGTTTAGGCTGTCTTTTAGTAAACAGCTACAGATTAAGCAGTAGCCAAGAAGACAAACCAAGTTCTTATTGGTAAGTTAGCCGTACTATACTTTCCTAGCCTTCTCCAAACCCCACTCTCCTCTACCTGAAGAAGCTCATAAAGATTCCACAATGAACATTGTAAAAACTTTGTGCTACTAATATTATTAACACTTCAAAAACTGTCATGCAAAAAAAAAAAAAAAACCATAATCAACACCCAGACGGTTCTATTATATACAAAACCAAACAAATCCCAGGCACTCTTCACATATCAGAATCTGATCCACCAGAATCACTTCTCGACCTATCCGACATAAAGTTCGGAGGCAAAACAGGAAACTTAACTGCGTTCCTCTGCTGTTGAGGACTACTTCCCGTTGCTCTCCTCTGCATGTTCCTCGCAATCTCTACACACACTTTATCAACCATCCCAAGAAAATCTCTAACGATAACAAACAAATGAAGTGGATTCTTCCCCTTCACAGGCCCACCCGCTTGGTAATACTCCGTTGTCCTCTTCACAAGCTCCATCACTTTCTTCTCATCTTCTCTAGCCACCTTCACCTCTTCCTCAGCCGCGTCAAGAAACTCAACCATCTTCTCCACAAACCTGTTATCTCCTCCACATTGTGACAACACTCTTCTAGCTTCTTTAGCTCTTGACGTGAGAGCCAAGCAAGTTGCTGAAACCGTGTCGTAATCTATAGCCGCAGCTTTCTTAACGTTTGAGAACTCAGAGCTTAACCCTCCAACGACGGGTAAACCGAGTCGAAGATACTCCTTCTCTTGCTCCTCCTTTGATATAACCTCTGAGATAGAGTTGCTACTTGTTCTGCTCAAGCTCCTTCTGTTAATCAAACACCTCTTCCCTTCTGACCTAACAACCTCTTCCACCACGAAGTTAAGCAGCGTAGTCCTCCCGTCGACACTCTTAACGTCAGAGAGTTTCAACAACGCTGTTAGATTAAAAGCTTGAGCGTCTCCTCTAGCTGTTCCTGCGTTCATTCTGTTTCCGGATTTTAGTATCGCTTCGAGAAGCTTGACGAACAAGCCACGTGACCTAAGCTCTGCACAAGCAGAGTCTAACGTCTTTAGAGAGTTTTTATGGTTACTGATCTCAGGATAGTAGTTAGCTCTGAAGAGCAACGCGTTGAGTCTAGTGAACGCGCTAGGAACAGCCTTGAGGAGATGGAACAGGAAGGACTCAGCGTCAGCGAGCTTTGTCGTGTCGCCGTCGAACTGGAGGATCATTGTTTGTTCTTCTTGCGTTGGAGCTATCCTCGCAAGCCTCTCGAGTGTGTCTGGATGAAAATCGTTTCCTTCCATTAAAGATTCGACTAGCTCGTGACGTGTCATACCTAAAGACTTGAGAACAATGGCTGTGTTCTGTGACTTTCTAGGGTCGAGGATGAAGATCTGTGTAGGAGTGGTTGAGATAGGCTTTTCGTGATCTGGTGACTTCTTCCCCACGGCAACGTAGCCGAAGAGGGCTTCCATAAGATCAGCATCGAAGCTGAGGAAAGAAACAAAAACTAAAAAACATTAGGGTTTGTATTCACTAAAAGCGATCAAAGTTGCTTGGGAACTACGTTACGTTACCTGAATGAGCCACGGTCGATTTTGTCCCAAACCATGGAATGGTCTGAGTCAGGGTTGACTTTATCCCAATGAAGAGGCTTTAACTTGACCTGACCATTTTCAGAAGTTGAGCCTTCCCCTGAAGATGACCCTCTAGGAGCCGGCGGTGGTTTTGAACCTGCCGTCTTCTTTAACAGCGGAGGTGGTGGCGGAGAAGGACCATTAAGCTTAGAGGGAGGAGGTGGAGGTGGTGCTGGTGCGGTTTTTTTAACTGGAGGCGGAGGCGGAGGAGGTGGTGGTGTATCCGGTTTAGCAAACTCGAAAGAATCTGACTTAACCGGATGGTTATCATTGTGAACTACACTGTGAGAAGTGGAGGATCTTCCTCTGAGAAGAGGCATCTCTGTAACCGGTTCAGACTTCTTCTTGTTCTTTGAATAAATCACATTCTTCTCTTCATCGTCGTTACCGTCGCCACCGTGGACGATCTCTTTTCTAAAGCTTCCGCTTTTATTGTTTCTCTGACTCTGAGTCTTTCTCCAATACAACACATCGAGACCGTTCTCATCCAAGATCAATCCTTTGACGTTTCCTCCGAATCTCGTGAACCCTTCCCGAGCTAACGCCGCCTCTGCAAGTGGAGGAGCCGGAGGAAGGTTGTTCACGACGTTGACTCTGTCTCTCCGTCGTCGCCGCCGCACGGTGTAGAGATGGACGAAGAGAAAGAAAACGGCTGCTACAAGTAAAGTGCTTGCCGCCGTTATGAGTATAGCCCTCGTGATCTTGTCTCTGTCCGAGGACGGTGATGGTGGGTTTTGCTGCGGGAGAGGAACCGGAGAGGGAGGCGGAGCGGTGAGGGTGTCATTTGGGAAGAAGGTTTCGATGTTTTGAGGAGAATCTGATTGAGAGAAGGATTGATAAGGGAAGAGGAGAATCAAAGAGAGGAAAATTAGGGTTAAATGAGGAGGGAGAGGAAGAGACGGTGGCCATGGCTGCTTCAACATGGCAGCCATGGAGGATTAACTCATTTGCAGAGAGCTGAAATCGATGGAAAGGTAACGTCTTTTTGTTATGTTTTTTTTTTTTCTGTTCTCTGTGAGTTTTGAGATGGATTTGAGACTTTTGAGGATTTGTTTGGTATGATGTTGTTGACGTTATGGTCTGCAAGAAGCAGCGTAGTTGATCTGTTCTCTATAAGGATTGTGTACGAGTTTACATGACGAAAATACCCTCTCAGTATGGAATATATGGGTATGTAATACAAGGATGTTTTGGTCATTTCTAACGATTCACAAAATCTTCTTTCTGAAGACTCAGTTTAAGTCTTGTTGGTGTCGTGAGCGAGGGTTTTCGTTGGTGAGGTTGACCTTGTTTTTTTAGTTTGACTTGGTCTGAACGAGTGATCGGTCTTTACGATCTTTTTTATTTGATTTTTGTTTTGAAATAAGAGAGCAAATATCAGATATTTGAGTTTACTGTCGATATATTTTAGGAAAATTGGATCCTATAACCACACAAAAATCCATAATTAACTAAATAGCCAAAATCATATTCTCTCTCCCCTTCTTTCTTCCTATCTCTCTCTACTCTCTCTCCTAAAAAAATAATTTTCTTTTTTTTCCTAGCTATTTGGCAAATAAGCCCTATATTTTAGCTTTATTTTCTTCTTTGTCTTTTTTCTTTTTTACTAACTTTATTTTCTTCATTGTCGCAATCACCTTTTATGTTTATTTAAAAATAAATAAAATGGAATCACTATTTAAAGAAAATGTCAAGTACGCTCTGGAAACTCGGGGACGTTCTTTGAGTACCAACAACTTCGAAAACAGAATAAAAGTCGCGATGTTATATAAATAAACAATGAGATCGAAATTCATTGCATCCCATCACAAGGAAAAGACTACCAAAAACGTATATGAATGAGATCTTCTTTTTATAAACAATGAAAATAATATGAACGTGTAGGTATGTAACTCAAGGTATTTATCATATAACTTTGAAGTTTTTTTATTTGATAAGCTGAAATGAAACAACTCATCCACTACAAGAAAACTAAGCCATTACTAGGAAAATTTACTAGGAAAACATTTCCTCGTAAAAATACTACTAGTTTACTTCGACTTTACGAGGAAACATCTTTTCCTCGTAAGGTTCTCGTAAACTTACGAGAAAAGCGTTTCCTCGTAAAGTGGAAGTAAATTTACGAGGCTCTTACGAGGAAAATAATATTTTCCTCNAAATCAGCTATAAGCTTGATCAAACAAAAAAAATGTCCGGTCCGGGAAGTATTTTCGAGTTGCGGAAGTGGATGTATTCACACAGAGATAATAACGGGAGGGTGACGAAAGAATTTCTCGAAGGGTTGGAGACGTTTATGCATCAAGCAGATTCTACACCACTCACGCAAGAAAGTGGTAAGATGTTCTGTCCTTGTCGAAAATGTTGCAATACCAAATTAGGCCCTCGTGAAAATGTTTGGAAGCATTTAGTTAATAGAGGTTTCATGCCATATTATTATATTTGGTATCAACATGGAGAAGATGCTAGTTGTAGGAATGAAGGTAGCAGTAGTAATCAGGTTGAACCGGTTGATCATTTGCGTAATGAAGGTAGCAGTAGTTATAGCTATCATCACC